CTGCAGAAGGAAGTGAAAAGGACCCAAAATCCCTGCAAATCTGACCTTGGGAAATTCCCTCCTGACCCTAAATTTGGCATGCAGTTTAACTCTGAACATATGAGTAAGACTCACCAGCAAAGCACACATCAAAAAAACCCTCAGAATTCGGCATACTCTTGCAGAACTCTGACCCACTAGTCCAGCATCCCCATCTCCATTCTCCAGGTATGACCAGTTGCTAACTTTAAACCAAAGACTACTTTTTTTTCCCAATTCTAGTTTATCTGGTAAAATTATGGAAAAAATTCAACTACACAATGAATTAATCTGAGCCTCCATTCTAATATTATAAAAGCCTACGTCTGTCTGTCCTTAAGTAACACTTTATTTGCACTCTGATTGACTGATGGAAACAGCCAATCAGAGTGCTTCAAGCGTGGGGCAGCGCCACCATGATTCCGAAGCTATGCTGAGGACTGGACAGAGGGTGGGGGAGCTGAGGTCAGCAGTCTCTCCCACCCTGCTCCCTGCAAGCAGTGCCAAGGACCGAACAGGGGGTGGGGGAGCTGGGGCCAGCAGCATTGGCCTTGGCTCCCCCACCCCGCCCCCTGCAAGAGGCAGAACAGCAGCAGCATGGGCCATTAGGTGGCGGCACTCCATCCCAGCCCCCTCCCACTCCCACCCATTCTTGATGGGCAATTGGCTAGTCTGTTTTTAAGATATTAGGGTTGTTCCCAGTTCAAAAAACAAATTGTTCATGGCACATTCAAGTTAATCTTACTCTTAAACTTCAGCAGTTATCCAGGCAGAACATCCATGGTTTTTTCTAACCAAACAGGGGATAGACATTATTATTTCAAGAAACCAGGATTAAGTCAGTGTTTCTCAAGCTTTTCAGATACAAGGCACCTCTCATTAGACCCTAGGTGCCCCTGGGAAAATGCCAGCTCTTAATTTTCACTTGTCTTTTGACTTTCAAAAGAGTCATAGAACAATTCTTCTATTGCAAAGAACTAAGAAAGACCACAACAGGTCACAATATTTTTAATGCTATGAATTCCTATTTGAAATCTCTGGATCTATTTTGTGAAGCATATTTCTACACCTGACAGTGCTAATATTGTGTAATACCCTCAGCACCTTTGAAAGAATCCCAAGCTATCCAGTATGCCATGGCACCCTGGTTGAGAATCACGGATATAAGTAAAATGATGTTAATGTCCAGAGTTATGCACAGACTATTGCTAAGCACAAAATAACAAACATGTTCTCCTATCTGGTTGCACTGCCAGGATCAGACTTATCACTGCAAAGCTCAGTGGGCTAGTTAAAGTGGGTACAACATAAAACTGAATTCTAGAGACTATAGCATTCCAGATTATTGTGGTAATAAATGTTTTTTGTATTTAGCTAAGGGAAAATTTATCAAGCACCATATTTATAGAGGAATGGTTTGCTTCAAACATAGTTACCCACTGCTCTCTGTACCATTTAACTCCTACCTGAGAGGGCTGTGTGGCAGAAGGATCTTTCATGCAGACTTAAGGCTGCTCTAATTTATACAGGCAGCAAATATTCCCAAAGGGACAAAAACAAAGCCAAAACATGACATGACAATGGAGTGTCCTTACCACAAAGCCTTTCCACCCAACACAGTCTGTTTCACGACAACAATAGTGATGGTGATGGGATAGTGACATAACAGCCTTAGCATCTGTTCTACAACCTGATTTGATTAACTAGGGGTCCAGATTTAGGGTCTGATTATGCCACCAGTGCAACACAGAATAATCTCAGAAAGGTTTCTGATGCAGTCAGTTTATTGAAAAGGCACCAGTTTCTAGGAAAAAGGTGGGAGCATTGATTAAAAGTTGTCCTCAGATTTAAAACTATTAATGGATTTTTTTTCAGTCTCACTCTATCTTCTCCATCATATCAAATCTTGACCCCTAAGATGACAGTCAGCAGTCCTTAACAGAAGAACATCTCTGCAGATCCTTTATCATCTTTCTCTCAATTGATTCACTCTCTCTTTCAGATTATTTGAATTCACAGCCTTTCTCCTTTGTCAATCTACAAAACAATTTGTAGTTTGTATGAAACAAACTCTAAAAAGATGTGTTGTCTTTTGCTATATATATATTAAGATGCATGCTCTTATCATTTCCAAAATATTTGCTGGGTGGGGGAGTCTATTTGTGAGTATTTATATACTACTGGCTTGTGTGTATATACACACACACACACACACACACACACACACACATTGTATATCAAAAGGATTTTTTCTCTATTTTGAACAATCAGCTTTAACTCTCAAAAACCATTTTAGAAACTATATTCAGATAAAACTAGGAAGGGCCATACTGGAACTATCTAATCTAGAATTCATGTTGGGCTAAGGCCAGATGTTTCAAAAAGCTACATAATAAACTAACAAAAATGAAAAATCAGTTTCTCAATCCAAGTGTATCTAAAATACTTTTTTAATTTTGCGCAAATTCACAAATGATACAATATTGAAGTGTTTTTTAAACATACTGTACAATTATATTAGTTAAATGTTTTACATCAAGGCACAGCACACCATATTTTACAGATATGCCTTGAGAGGCAGCAACTTAATGTAATCCCCGAGATTTGGCAATATTGCCAAGATAAATAGCATGGATCACAGATATGCTAGAAGATAAATAAATAATAGATGCTGTCACATTTTATTTGAAATACAATTGCATATAAAAAGAATATACAATAATTTAACTTGAATAATTAGATTCTCTTTTAATATACGTAACAGAAGTACTTTCATTTGTTTTAAACAAAACATTTTTAAATACTAGAAGGATGCAAAAATGAAACTCTATTTGGCCTTGATTTATGGAGAAGAGTTGCAAGTTGCTTTCATAAGAAATCAAAAGGAGTTGATTTATTTCAGTTTCATGGCAATCTGAAAAAAAAGTAAATCCAGAATTAACAAAATTCTGATACTGAAATGTTAATACTGTCATAACACATATCCACTGATTAAAACTATTATTTGAATGACACAGCTTTGTTTTATAAATGGGACACACATTGCAACTGATTATTTAAGTAGCACATCCACTGCAAGCTCTCCTTGTACAAAGTTTAATAATGCACAATTGGAATTATATCATACATTTGAATTAGCCATTCTTTGTTTATGATCAAAAAGTGAGTCATCATAAGCCTATTTGTCATTCAAACCACAGCTGACACTCTACAGACTGACATTTCTTGGTAAAGTTATCTATATCATGTATATTGTAGTGTGTTTACCATATTCCTGGTGTCATTCCATGTTTTATATTTGAATGTCTCTCCTTCGCCTGCCAAAAGCTTTAGATCCCACATTGGTAGGTACAAAGTTGTTCTTGCCAACTGCTCCTGATCTGCTCAGGAAGTCTGCCAGACGATGGGTCACACAGGTTGCTGTATTGCAAGCCCTTTTCTGTGCTGTTACACTGCTTTTCAAAGAAAAAAAAGGAAATGAAAATTACCTAAAGAATATATCAGAGATTCAAATAAAATTAAATTTAAGCGGTAAGGTAAGGTTCTACTTAGAAAAATGTTTCTACAAAAAATTTGATTCAGAGAGTCTGCTCATTATGTCTTAAGGACTTCCTAGTATGTTCAGTTTATGAGTTAATAATGTGCATTTTTCCTACCAGGCTGGCAGACTAAACCAGCTTGTGAAAGAAACTGACATTTTCTTTCTTATGCACCCCAGCGATAAAGGTTCTGTATACCAAAGGATGCCTTGGTTTCACTTGCGCAACTCCATTACCTTCAGCAAATAACAAAATAATAAAATGTACACAACTCTGTTCGTGATAGACAAAGAGGAAGAACATCTAGCTAAGCTGTGCTCCATAAGTCCTGCAATAGTAATGGCATAAAGTAACAAAAACATATTTTAGCTATCCAGTTCAGCACCTAGTCCTCTGAACAACTGTAAGGTGTATGATCCTGCTCTTCCTGAGGACAACTGAAGTCTTGAATGGACTTGAGTTCAGCAGGGTCAGGAGTTCACCCAACAAATAAATCTGTTGGTTAAAAAGGGATCTATTTGGGGGAGTGGGGTTACATTTCAGAGTTGAACCGCACTTACATTAAAATTGTGTCTATTCTAGGTATTTGACTGTTTTTTTTCTGATCCAGCAAAACCCTTGAACAAGAATAATCCCATTGACTTCAATAGGACTACCCACTTGCTTAAATCAAGGCATATAGTTAAATATTTTACTGGGTTTGGGTCTTTATATACATTAATTCTTCTTAGTTTTTGTTCAAGTTAACGTCCTACTGAAATGAACGAGAATGTTGCTCAGGTTAGGACTTCATTACAACAGAGTTCTTAATCAGCAAGAAGAAACATCATTGGCAACAGTATAATCTTTTTCTTAACAGGTCTCTGGTTAAGAAATATATACTGAAAGATTTAAAAAATGGGTAAAGAGGCAAACATGGTGTCATGAAATTATTCAGATAGCCAATGCATCAGCATGAAGAAATTTAATGTAAATAGTTCTAAATAAAATAAAAGAAGAATATTAGATTTCTTACCTTGATGACTTCAATGAGAACATAGTTTTAAACTGGATTATATTTCTAGTATTTTTCTAACTACTTAAGGCATGCAGTTGAATCCTTTGCCGTTTCAAAGACTTAAAAGGGTCCACAAAAACTGTTTTACTAGAAAAAGATGGTGGTTTTTGTTTTTTTGTTTTTTTGGGTTTTTTTACACATACCTACCTATTGAAATAATTCTAAACTGTCTGAGAGTTATGTCTTTATATATGCACTTAGCAAAATGTTCTACTATTCTTAAATTAACTTACTATACAACTTCTGCATTGTACTGACATTCTTGAAGACGGAAAAGTTTGTTAATCTTTTCTGGCTTTCTCTAGAAATCTCAGATGCCAAAACAAAAAATTAAAACAACAGACCTAATCCTTATAGAAAAATAGGTTTATTGAACAAGTGCATGAGCAGGCATGAAAGAAGAGTTTATTTGTACATGGAGTAGCCAGAAATGAAAAGCTTCATTTAGAGTTTTTTAAAATAAATGTCTAAGAAAATCATTTCAAATCTCAAAGCAGTGCTGTTCATTCGTATTTATTTTATTTGGCATATGCTTGCTATTTCTAACTTGGTATGTTATGTTCTTTATCTTCCTAACTGAAAGTCCATCTCAAATATTCTCTGTCGAAAACAGAATCAAAAGAACATAGTAAAGTTAGCAATCAAGGTTAGATCCACATGCATCAAGTTAAAAAAAAAAGGGTAGAAATAAGCATGTCTAGTTGTTTCCTAGGGATTCCCCATAATTTGCATAGCGCTCATTTTCCAGGTCATTCAGCACATTCCTTTTCTTGCCAGGAGTTCCAGCCCCGACGTCAGTACGAGGGTAAGTTTGCAATTTGTGCAATTCTTGAGACAGTTTGCCCAGTACACAAGTACTCAGACTGGCACAGCGTTTGGAAATAGGTCTATCCAGGCTGCAGGAGGGAAAAAAAAAAACATGCCAAAAAAAAGTAATATAAACCATGCACAGTCATGCATTACATTCCTAGATAAATAACTGTAGCTAGAAGACAAAAAGAAAAGGGAAAAACCTCCCCCAAGGGGGGGGGGGGGGGGGGGGGGTCATACAAGGGAGAGTAAATCAGAAAGGGCACACAATTTATCATGGATTAAATTAATATTGTTTTGTTGAACAAGCAAGTCACTTAGCTTTTTAGACATTAGCACTTAAAAGGCAAGATGCTAGCAGTTAAGGAGCAGGAAACTTCTCTTTCAGTATATCCAACATGCTGTTCTGTTTCTCATTCATCATCATGCCTTGCAATAGGAGTTTATTAAGGATAATGCAAATTTATACTTGCATGCCTTGGCTTTCTGGGAAAGGATGGTGCTACGTGCATTAAGGGGAATGCCCCAACTTCTGCCAATGGCTGTCCATGCCTTACAATAGCATGCATTTTCACGACAGAGAATTCAAGAGTGATTAAACAGCCCTCAGCACTTCCACCATTAAACATACCTCTTGCTGTCATATTTTAACACAACCCCTTTCAAGTTCAACTCGCCCTCCAATGGCTTTTTTATTTTCTTTCAGTTGTGAAAAACAGATAGAAGCAGGTTAACTAGGTGGAAACCATTTTCCTGATACTGACATGAGAAAACAGCTCTGTAATACTGTCCCTTTTCAAATATTGTATAAAGTCATCCACAGTCCCAAGTGAAAGGTAAGCCTTAGCCTGTCCAAGCATTGGCTGAGGTTGCTCTTGTTGAGAAATCAAATAGACACACATAGGGGTCAAATTTCCCCAGTGCCGTGCACATAACCCCAGGGCTGCAGTCCTTACCTATTCCCTTCAGTCACTTTTTCCAGGTCTTCTGCTGTCATCTGTATGAATTCTTTCACCAATGCATTTAATAACCTCCGAGCTTCATAATCACTGAGTGTCACTCGATCTGTCATAGACTCTAAGCCAGGTCTAGGTGGAGACAAGCAAGACTGCATGAATATAATCCTGGCTGTTGCAGGGAATCTTGCATAGGATGAGATAGATGGAAGAGTTCTTTTATGTATTCTTCCTTATTACCAAGAGTGTCTTTAACTGATAGGCATGAGTAGCTTTGGCTTGATTGTAACTTATCTAACATATGAAGAAGTAATATAAGTAATCTATTATGTATTAGCAAATATATAGCTCAAACTTACAAGATCTAGGGATTTTTTTTCATTTTACCATAACCCATATCCTATCTAAAGCAATAAGAAATACTAAATATCACTACACTGTTCAGACAAAGTACCTTGAAATTCATAAATGTCCACAGTTCTCTGATTCTTACCTGAGTGGAGCTGCCTGGAAACTATCCATCTGGCAAACAACCAAGGCATAAACAGCAAGGAAAGATGAAATCTTCAGCATAACCATAATGTCCTCTCTATAACAAAGAGTTACATCAGTGGCCATTTTCAAACCCCCTCAGTTCTATCAGATGTACTTAAGAGTACATCTTTCTCTACATACAAAACTTCACACTAACTCATTGGGTTTTTATTGCTTTTTTAATCATTATCTTTGAATTTGTCTTCGTTATTGACCTTCTACTTTTATCTTCTTATTTTTTTCAAATATTTTAGGATTACTATATGTATTTAAATTGTACTCCTTGGCGTTTTTCAGTATTATAATTCTATAAAGTTCAAACTGGTGATGAATATCTGACTAGCTAGAGAATTACATATCATTTTGTGTGTTTAATGTGTCATATAGCAGTTGGACAAACTAGCCTCTCAGGTATAGCACATCTCAAGAAAAAACACAAAAGTAATTCAGATATCAAAATATTCCATGGCCAAGATAGTTTCCTGTGAACATGTTCTGTGGACTAATTTGAATATGTGCAGTATTTAATTTTACAGTATTTAGCAGTAAGCACAATTACATTAAAGAGTGCTCATTTCTTGATCTAATTGACTCGCTAATATCCCCTGTCAAATGCACATTAGATAAGATTTAAAAAACTGGATTATTTAATTTTACCAAATAATCTCAAATCTCAGATTAACAGAATGAGTCAATCAGAAGAAAACTTGATTCAAGGGATAAAAATAAAAAATAATTATATTTTAAAGAATTTGTCTCTGCCACCCCCTTTATTTCAAGTATATTTAACTTAATTTCAGCCTATTATTACCTGCCACATATACTGCTGGCTAACATAAAATGTAGGATCTCATTTTCCAGACCTTCATAGGATTAGAATTTCCATACAAATTTTATATTACTATTTCACAACAGATTTTATGAGAAGCTTAAAATGATTAGAAAAGAAAAAAAGCTCTTCAACCTAATCATGTAAAAGAGGCTGGTTTGTTCGTTCCCTGGAAAATGTAATAAAATGTATGTTTTTATTTCCTTACAAATATTATAAGCGCTAGTGGATAATTTTACTGACTTGTGCATGGCTTTTGTTCACCTGTTTTTTTAAGGAAGCCTGTAATGAGGAACTTAGCAGCCCCATATAAAATGCAACCAGTTGCAAATGAGACCCTCTCTGAAAGCACAGGCAGAACAAACTGGAATAGAATAAAGCATCCCTAGCTGTAAACTAAGCATCATTTGAAACCCTTTCTTAGATCACAGGCAAGCCTTACAAATTCAGCTGCGGTGAAGAAGATTTAGCAAACTAAATTTTAAAAGACGGAAACCCACACTTACCTTGCAATGCAAAGCTTCTTAAGAAACAGTAAAATGTGCTGAGAGTTTCCTCAATATATGTTTCTAAATCGTGATCCTGTTCAATGCCCAGTACTCCCTTTTATATCTACCGCCAGGGAAAAAGTGTGTAGGCGTTCGCCCAGCCCCCGCCGGCCAATCGCATGCTCTGTTGGCAAAACGCAGCCAATCCGCAACGGAGTTTGCGACTCCAAGCTCTCAAATTACGTCATCTTCCAGTCACTGAGTATTCCATTCACAAAAATTTGCCAGTCATTTGGCTGGATCTGCTGGGTTGATTTGCATTGAGGTCATTGAACGAAAAAAAAGGTGGGGGGAGAGGGGAGGGGGGGATCACTTCAGACAATTAATGAAAAGTAAGGGAAATCGTCTCGAGCCATTAATAATGTACAGTCCACCCCCCTTCCTCCCACCCCCTCAAAAGTACCATATCTTTTTAATGAAAACTTCAGAGGACAGGTTATTTACTTATTAGAAGCGACATCTACTGCAAAAAATACTGCATTGCAGACCGGGGTGGGGAAGGACGTGGGGAAACGATGGATTGTCATTCCCTTTTTTTTTCCCCCTTGCAAAAGAGCAGCTATAGTAAAGGTGCTGGGTAGGTGGGTGGGAAACAGTATTTGCAGGATTAGTTCCAAACGCTTTAGTAAGATCGCTTAATGTTTTGTAATAAAGCAAGGCATAAGCGTGCAGAAGTCAGGCTGTTTGGGGAGAGTTTTTTCTGTGTGGCTGAATGAGCTCTGTCGTGCTCCCCTGGAGCGGGGAAGATCTCGGGGTGCCCCAGGATGCTAAGCTCATATCAGAACAGCGCTTCCCACCCCGCGCATGGGACTCACTTGGTGGGTTAAGGCTTTGACAACGGGTTAAGATTTGAGAACTATGTGCTAGACTGTGTGTGTATATATAGCGATTTATATATATATATTTTTTTTTCCAAAGAAAAAACTGTCTCCTGACTCCTGCAAGGCTAAATGTTCGCGACCCCCGAATAGGCAGTGCTGGAACCACTGTGGATCCGCACTGGGTCAAGCGTATGAGGTTCATAGAGGGGGGATCGGGTTTAAAAATAATCCTCCCCCCCACCCAAAAAAAACACAGCAGGACCTGATGCTTGCACAGATTTCAATGTGCTCTAGTTCATGTCCTGAGGCTGCATTGAAGAGAAGGGACCAGTGGAGAAGAGCCCTCTTTCCCCGCCTCCCCACTCTCTTCTGAAAGAATCGCCCACCCTGAGCTCTTGTCGGGACCCTGCGAATCGCCCCGGGGGGGAATGGTGCAAACAAACCACCCCCACTTCTAACCTGCCCTGTTTCCCCTCGGCCCTGTGACTAAGAGGTATCCTCCTAGGGGAACCCTGTCCTCTCTTGGCGTGGGGGCAGCTGAGGGGAAAGAAAACCTGAGGGGAAACGCTGCTTAAGGCTGGAGGCCGGGGCAAGCTGCCTCCCCCCATCTCTGTAACACCCCCAGCGCACTGCTGGCTGATCCCCCAGCCCCCTTGGGGAGCGATCTAGCGCCCGGGTATAAACCAGGGCTGTTTCAAGCTGCTCCCTGGCAGATCTGGAGGGTGGGGCGTGCTTTGCTCCTTGCTCATGCTGTGAACTTGAACTTGCACTTGCACTGGCAGAAACGGGCGGCGGGGGAGGGAGTTTATTGCAACCCCGGGAGCTGCCCAGGGTGGCCCCTGGCCCAGAGGAGTGGCTGCGAGAGCCCCGATCTCTTTTTCGCAGCAAACTGGCAGCAGCCAGAGGACAGACTCGCTTGAGCAGCTTTCCTGGGCGGGAAGGGCAGCTGGCAGGTACTCAGCCGCAGCCAGGAGGGAGCCCTGCTGTATTCCTTGCCATAAATAGGAGCTGCAGTAGCAGGTGCCTGTGCCCCAGCTGCGCCGCCCCCGGCCCCGAGCGGCACGTTCCAGCTGCTGGCCAGCTGCTTCCCCGGCCCCGCAGCTGCATCCGCAGTGGAGAAGCCGCTGCCATCTCCAGGCGAGGGGTGGGGAGGCATGAATCACTCTCTAAGGGGCTGTCAGTGGCGGTCCAGCCGGCCCGGTTTGCACAGCTGCCGGCGGAGAAGAGAGCACGGCGGGGCGATCTCCCCCTGGGAAGCAGCACTGAGGTGCGTACTTTCTGCAGGGGGGCGGGGGGAGCCCTTCCTTTCAGACTCTGCCAATAGAAGTGCGTGTGTCCGGGGGGGGGGGGGGGGGGCCCCCCG